CCACCCACCGGTGGGGACACCCCATTGCTGTTCCCAGTGAAGGACGTGGGTGCCAGGGGGACCTCGTGGGTGCTGCCCCCACCCCCAGTGGGGGTCCCCCATGTCCCTGTCACAGCGTGGTAGTGCCACGACAGGTCGTAGCATCCCTCTGCCGTGTCCTGGGCTCCTGCAGGCGATGGGCGCAATGAGGGGGTGGCACCCCGAGGTGCTCCTGTGGCAGCCCCCCCTGGGTAAGAGGAAAGCCTGTACCGAAGCTGCCCGTCCCCATGTGCGCTCAGGGCAGGGGCAGGTTTTCATGCTGCCCCCAGATGTCCCAGTCTTGAGCTGGGTTTTGATATGCCTCAGACTGTGCAAAAACTTGAGATAAAGCTGAGGCTCAAGCTGTGCCCTCCGGGTTTTCATGTGGCTTGAGATGGGAAATGAGTGGTTTTGGGTCTGTGACCCAAATGGGGCAGCAGGAGGGAATGGCTTCTCACCCGCGTGCCGTGAGGTGCTGGTTTAGAGGATGCTCCAGGATGGTTTATTCCTCCCTCCTCACTCCTGCCCCATTCCTCCCCTCAGGAAATTGCCCCCGGGCAGCTGAGCCTGGAGGAGCTGCTGGAGATGACCGACGACCAGGTCTGTGAGACCGTGGAGAAGTTTGGGGCCAACAGCGAGGAGTGCGCCCGCCTGAACGCCTCCCTCTCCTGCCTCCGCAGCGTCCACAAGTCCGGTGAGTCAGGCACCCTTGTACCTGCTGGCTGGGAACCCTCGAGCCGGTTGGGGTGAGTGGCACCGTCCCGTTGCGGTGACACCGGGAGCACGGCTCTAACGCATTGGGGGCGTTTGCAGAGTCTTCTCCGTGGGTTGCAGAGTTCCTCTGTCCCTGGGGGATGACCGGGTACCCGCTGCCCGCAAGGGATGTCTTTGCTCTGGTGCATCCCTGGGGCTCGGGAGCGCATGGGGGGCCTCGCTTCTCTGGGAAGTGATGAGTTGTTAGTTCTCTGCAGGGAGGCTTTGCCCAGGGAGGGCGCAGCATTTCTTACAGGGTCCCCCCGACCCCTCTTGCTTGCAGGAGCACAGCCAGCAGACTCAGGAAAAGCCCCTGAGACTCAGCAAGCTCCTGCCACTCCGCATCGCTT